ATCACAGATTTTTGTTGTTTAATAAAGTAGTTTCAATTTAATATTCTATGTTGTTTTAGATTATATATAAATTTTTACTCTGTAACTGGCAATGCTTATCATTCTTTTTCTTCACAATTTGACATCGGCTGTTGCGATGTTTTAACAATTTAAATGCAATAGAAAATCACAATTTAAATGCAATAAAAAAGTCACAAATAACTTTTAATCGTGGATCTTTTTTAAAGTTTTTATTTTACACTTTAAACAAAATCAAAATATGAACAAAAACAAAATAATGATCGTTTAAAATAAACCCATTATGTGTAAGTTAAATGTCATATTTAAATTTTAGTAGATATGTATTTTTTATAATAAATTTAAGTGTTTAAAATTATTTTTCCATGTCTTTCTAAAAATCTTTTAAAAGATTTTTTTAAGTTACTTCAAATTATAAATGTTATATTAAAATTTCCCATGATTTAATTGCTTTTTTTGTTATTGTTGTTTCTATTTTTACAAAGAATCGTTAAAATTTTTTTTTTAAGCCTAACTTACTAATTAAAGCATGATATGAATAAAAAAATTACTATTTTAAAAAGACTATGTTATTTTTTTTAACATTTTTTTTCTTGCAACTTTTTAAAATAAATGTTTTTACAACTTAAAATTATTATAATTTTTCAATAATTTAATTTCACTTTTCAATAATTTAAATAAAATTTATTTATTATTCAACCAATAGAAGTAATTTGAAAAAGCGTATTGCGTAACTTTAATTAAACGTTTTAAAAGATCAGTTTTAAAGTTTTTTTTTTCCAATGCAATTAAAAACGAAACAAAGAGTAATTTTAACTTTGAGTTTATTTTTAGATTTATTTTAAAGTAATGTATTTTCTTTTTCGTAAGGGATTTGTTTTGCTTATGTTTTAGTTTTTTCGATTTTTTTCCTAGTTTAAGTTTAGCTTAACGTTTCTTTTTTCAGCGCATTTCTGAAATGTTTAAACCATCAAAACGCCTAAACAATCGTGGTCAAGTTAAAAACAAAAACAATCTTTTGTATGGTCAGCAATAATGTTCAATCTAAGGCCAGCTTTATTTTATAGAATTTAATTCCCGTCAGTCAAGTTGTCCGATTACTTTATAAATTGATCGGACAATCTGAGGTTTTAGCCTAACAATGTCTGAAGTTTGACTGTTACATTAAGCCCTGTGCTTTAAGACCTGTGTTTGTTGAAGTATTTTCTACCAAAGCTGCTTTTATCGTCTTTAAAAAATTATACTCTTTAAGAATTTTATATAGGCACTGAGCTTGCTTTTTTCCTGTTTCTCCAACAAGAGTTAAAACTTTGTGAGTAAGATATTCCCTATTGTAAAGGTTAGGGAGAAGTTTCTTAGTCACAGTCATGTGATGTTCTTTCTCTTTTGATCTCTTTAACACAACCTCACCATATTCTTTTTTTATTTCTCTTATAACTAAAGTTTCATTATCAATTTTACCATCAACATCAAAGCAAACAAACTCTCTGTTATTTTCAATGGATTTTAAATCTGACAATACTGTAACTGACATTTTTTTTCTATTTCGAATTTGTCTAAAAAAGTTGATATAATTGTTGTATCATTAAATAGTCCTGATAGATTGAGCATAAGATTTCCTAATGTGGCTCCAAATAAACTTCCTATATCGTTTCTGATCAACTCAATAGCAAACTTTGAAAACTTCCAAAGATTGTAAATTCCTGATGGATTTCTTTCAGGCTCCTATATCTATAAGAAAAGTTATAAAGTTCATTAACAAAAAATTTTATTATAAAAAAGTGATATGTTAAAAAAAAGAAAGTAAGTTTAAAAAATGTAAAATAATGACCCAAATTTCAATTAATTAGGTAATTACCTCACTAAAGCTAGAAATGGCTGATTCTGAATCAGATTCTGATAATGTTATTTCTAGAAGTAAATTAAATGTTTCTTGTTGTAATGATTGTTCCACATTTTTATATTCAGTTTTATGTTTCTTTAAAGATTCTTTTCTAGACCATTCACGATCAACTGAGCCAAGTTGAAATGATACTTTTGGACGTGACTTTTCTCTCTGGTTTTTTAAATATAACTATTCTTCTACAAGAATTTATATGTTATTTGATAATATCAAGTGATTGCATATGAAATTCAAAGTATTAAACTTTATCATACTAGTAATATACTAATGTTCATTTTATTTAAAAATACTCTTATTTTATTTATCTATTATTAAAAAATAACATGGTCTTTTTTTATCTGGACTACATGTGCATAAAATAAGAGCATCAGGACAGTTATCTTGACTACATTTGATATTTTTATCACCACAAAGAACAACTTTAAGATCACATGTGCAGAAACTGATATCAAAAAGCCTATCCAATTTTTTAAAAGTATTTTTTTTGTGTTGATACTTTGCATTTACTTCGGTTAATTAACCTGGATATGTTTAGAAGTACTCCAACTTTTTTTTCTGCACAATAAGTGGACATTATTGATAGCTGAGTGTTAACTTTTTTTCATATCATGATTATTTTTTCAGCTATAAGTTTTACAATCATGCTAAAGCAATAACTTGGATAAGTAAAAAAATTAAAATCTTAAATAATCTGTCTGTTTGTGGATGGTACTGTATTTGCAAGAGGGTTAGGACTTCCACCAAACTTGCTTTTTGTGCAATTTTGTGTTTAAGGCTTGTTTGAAAACATTATTTTTTGTCCTCCAAAATTTTCTCTTTCCCACACATTATAACATTTGTTTATTTTGCGTAAGTGCAGCAATCTTTAATTTGTATAAAAATGTTAGTGGTAAAAATGGCATTTCAAAAATTTTTTCAATTAAATATATCAATATATAAAATCATTTTAGCTCAACTTAAGCTTCATTAAAACAAAAAAGATTTTACCAAGCACATTTTTTTCACCTAACAGTGAAGAACCCAGAATTTATTTGAGGATACCGTTTTTTTTTTTCAGCAACGTTGAGGAGGGGGGGGATTATGTTTTTGATTTTCCCCTCCCCCTCATTCTCCCCTAGTTAAACAGGTGCCGCAACAATAATTTTTAATCATCATTTTCTTAATAATCATTCATGTTTATCTTGTTCAGTTTTATCCTATAATAAGGTGTTGATTTAAAGGCATTTTTTGAATACATGAATTTACTGGTGGGCGATGTTACTTTAGCTAAAAGAAAACTATTTTACTTAACATTTTAGTAAACGCTTTTGTTGCATATACCACGCTATCAGTAAATAATTATTGAAAATTGTTTAAAGTATTTTAAACAGTTATTAACTATATTTTAGTAAATTTAATATAAAAATAATAATTAAAAGTATTTTAAACAATTTTTAACCGATATTTACATTACATAGTATATATATATATATATATATATATATATATATATATATATATATATATATATATATATATATATATATATATATATATATATATATATATATATATATATATATATATATATATATATATATATATATGTATATTTATATATTGCATAATATTTGTAAAATTAACAAAATAGTTGTACTTCTTGTATTTGAATTAAAAACATTAGCATTTAATAAACAAATTCGATAAGCATTTAATAAACGTATTTAATAAACTATTTGAATAAAAACATAAGCATTTAATAAACTTATTTTCTATTATTTAAAATTTAAAGTTTTGATTTAAAAACATATATTTAAAAAAGAATATTTTTTTAATTTTTTAATTATTAAGAATAATTTTAAAAATTACATTTGAATAAATAAATTACATTTCCTATGGGTTATTTTAAACAGATCTAAATAAAACTTTTATTAAGTTATTGAAACCTTTTTTTATTATTATTTAAAAAAATATATTGAATGGAAAAAAATTATCTGAAAAAGTTTTTTCGTTTTCCTCACGTAAAATAGCAAGCTAAAGATTCATTCATTTCAAAATTAAACTTGCGCGATAGTTACAAGGACTGATATGTTTTACTTTTGTTCATTTATTATCAAAAGCAGTTTACTCTTAAATGCCAAAAATAAAAATTAACCTAACGCTGAATGGATATTTAAAAAAGCTTTAATTTTCAAAAAAGCAAATCTTTTATACATTCCATTGTTATAAAATTTTGCAACGCGGTTTTACAACTAAGTTTCATAACAACTTTTCATTTTTTTAAAAGTTATGTACAGTTAATAACCGAAGGCAAATTATGTCACCTAGTTATGTAAAAAAGCAATTTCTTTTTAATTCTTTTTATTTTCCTGAAGAAAAAATGGGGTAGCTAAATTAAACTGAGAATTATTTATATACTACTAAATTTAAAACAAATTTTTTTTTTCTATTTTTCATAAAAAATCAAAAGAAAAATTAAAGATAAAAATAATTTTTAGGCGTTTTTTTTAGGCGCCCATACCGGTAAAATGGTACTAAAACACATCTGGGTTCTTCACTGCCTAATAATCAAATCTCTTTATTACCAAACCTCTGATTCAAAAATCGACCTGCCCTAATAAAGATTAGTTTTGCAATCATACCTATATGTAATATAATTAGTGACATTAGAAATATAACTTTTGAAGTTTGAATAAGACTGCATCTCAGTAAGTTTCATTGTGTCTGACAAAATACAACTAAAATTATTCATTTTAATTATTTATTATTTTTGGATTCATTATTATAATTATAATTATAGTTCATAAAATTATTTATTCAAACAACTTAAATTATTATAGTATATATGTATGTTTTTATTAAAAAAGATTATTTTTTAAAAATTTTATAAAATTATGTTTACTTTGAGAACCAACATAAGGATACATACTTATGAAAAACTTTTTTTTGGCATTCAGGCTCTCTTTGCAAAATTGTATGTATGTATGTATGTATGTATGTATGTATGTATGTATGTATGTATGTATGTATGTATGTATGTATGTATGTATGTATGTATGTAAATAAGTATTTATGTATAAGCAATTTAAATTTTTTTTAGCTTGTTATGGAATATTGCATTGGCTCTGCTTCTGATATAATTGAAGGTGAGTTTTATTAAAGTAGTCAGTAGGTTAAAAACTTTTTTTTTTTTTTAACGTATGCTTAATGACAAAATTTCTTGAATAATTTTCAGAAATTTTTATAACCATATATACATTTTATAATTTTTTTTTTAATAAATTTATGCGTTATTAAATAAACCTTATTTAAACTTGTCCTTCAAATTGTTTTATTTGACTGTTATTGGAGCATGACAGGGTGAGTGTTTCTTTACAATATGTTAAATTTTAATATCTTGAGTATCAAACATTTCTTTCTAATTATATATAAATAAACCTTAAATGTCCTGACCTTAAAAAGTCTGACTGTAGCGTAATAGTCTTGTTTAATAAAACACTGACCTTAGGTTTTTTAAATTAGGTAATAAGAATAAAGCAGCCTTGATGCTGCATGTTTGACATTATATTCTTCATAATGCAAGTTCGATGCAGATTTCATGCTCTATATATTAGATTTGATGTTTAATGGTACAGGTTTGATGTTACATACCTTGATGGTTCAAAGTGCAAGTTTTTCAGTAAAAAGTTTTGCACACCAACATTACTAAATATTTGAAATAGAATTATTAGTATTGCTTAATGTTTGAAACAGAATTGTGTAATTAATGCTGTTATAAAATAGATATTATATTTTATTTAGTCCACAAAAAACCATTAGCAGAAAATGAGTGTGCAGCTATATGCCACGGAGCACTTAATGGTCTCAATCATCTCCACCAAAATAATAGAATTCACAGGGACATAAAAGGTAAACTTTGTTTGAAATTTGTATTAAATGGTTATGTTTATTGAGTTTCGGTATGAGGAATGAGAAATTATATTTTTTATATGATTCAGAGGCTAGTCTTATTTTTTTATTTTTGATGTATATTACATATTTTATATAAAGATCCAGAGAAAATCAAATATTGTATAACTTTTTAATAGCAACTATTTATAATTTTAAAAATATTTTCTAAGAAGATCTTAGAAAATAAGTACAAATAAATTTAATTATAAGTAGTTAAGAGAATTTTTATTAATATATATAAATAGCTAAATCTGTAACTAAATAAGAGAGATTGCAAGTATATTATTCTTTCGTATTTTTATAGTTGAACTCGGAACTTCTTGCTTATGAAGTGACCGGTCTACCACTACACCACTACCACATTAGTTATTTCATGTAATATGTATATAAAGCTTTTAATTCATGTAAACTAAATTAAAAGTTTTAATTTTTTTTGTTTGGGGTATTTAAAAAGTAGTTTTGCAGTTATAATACTACTTAGAAAAAGTATAAAACTTCGTGTAAAACAATAAATGTTTTACATTTACAGAAATAAAGAAAATTTAAAATTATTTTTATAAACTATAAAGAGTATAAAAAGTCACCTGTAAAAGAAGTTGCCTATTGATTTATATACATCTGGCTTATATTTAAATATATTAGATAAAGAAAATTAAATTAAGAAAAATGAAGAAAATTTAAAATTATTTTTACAAACTGTAAAGAGTAACAGAAGTGACCTGTAAAAGAAGTTGCTTATTGATTTATATTCATCTGGCTTATAGATAATTATATTAGATTAAATTTGCCCATAGTTGTAATTTATAAGAATTACGAATGAATATTTTTTTATTTATTTTTGTTTTTTAGCTGGAAACATTTTACTTTCAGAAAAAGGTGTGGTAAAATTAGGTGAGAGAATTATGTTCATACATTATTAGATTTCATAATATGTATGTATGTATGTATGTATGTATGTATGTATGTATGTATGTATGTATGTATGTATGTATGTATGTATCTATATATCTATGTACGTATGTATGATGTATGTATGTATATATGTATGTATGTATGTATGTATGTATGTATGTATGTATGTATATATGTATGCATGCAAGCCTTCCCGGAAGCACGTGCGGTCACAGACCTTGTTCGTCCGCGTTCTTAGTAGTTTATTTAGACAACATTTTTATATAGTAGGCGTTTTAAGAATTTGCGGCAAAATAAAGCTCTAAGAAACTACAGAGAATTTTGAAATTAAAAATAAAATAAATAAAATATATATATATATATATATATATATATATATATATATATATATATATATATATATATATATATATGTATATATATATATATATATATATACATATATATATATAAATATATATATATATATATATATATATATATATATATATATATATATATATATATATATATATATATATATATATATATATATATATATATATATATATATATATATATATATATATATATGTATATGTATAATATATCTAACTATTTTACTGCTTTTGTACATTGTTAATTTACTTAACTATTTTAAGGAAATTTTTTGAAGACTATTTAAAACATTTTTTTAAGTTTTTAAATACATTTTTTCAAACAGAACAATCATGTTCATTATCTATAGTATTTTGTCTTAATGATGAAAATTGGGCAATATAAAAGAAACAATTTCAGATGAAAACAAATATTGTAAATACATTTATAAAAAAAGCCATAGTGTTCTTTTATTTAATTTCTTCCGTCATTACAAAATTTATTAATCAAATATTATATTTTACCAATAAAAAACAATTTATTTTTTGTTTTTCCTATTATATAATTATTGAGAAAAAATGTCAAATATAGCAAGAAACATTTTTAAAAGACGTGAAAACAAATAAATGTAAAAAAAAAAACTAACAAAGTTTCTCATAGTTCTAGCATACATAGTAAATTAGTTTCTTAAAAATTGCGAATAAATTGCATATTAAAACATATATTTGTTGTTATAAAATTATAAAGTTGTTGTTTTAATTATAATATGTATTTTTCCGTGACTTGTATCAAATTCTGTAGCTCAAAATTACAACCACCTTGAAAAAAAGAACAGAAAAGCTGTATAAAAATTTAATAAAAATTTTTTTTTAATTTTCATTGTTTAATAAATAAATTCTTTTAGTCTATTTATTTTAATTAAAATTTGATAGTTCTTTACAATTTTGTTTTCATTTTTTAGTATTGGTTTCTTTTTTCTCAGTAGATAAGTTTAGCTTTTTGCCGCGAATTACTGAAATGCTTAAAAAGTTAAAAAATATAAACGGCCGTGGTCAGTATGTATAAATAAATTACTTTGAAGATTGATGAACAAGGCATGCAACCGCATGCACTTCCCAGGAAGGCTTAGTATGTATATATGTATACTAATTTGACAAGATAAAATAGTAACTAAAATTCAGCTATATATATTTACTAGAGATGTCACAAATATTCTATGACTATTTGATATTCTGCATTTTCAGCTACTTTTTCTAATATTTGGTATTCAGCCAAGTATTGCAAACTATTTGGCCAAATACCAGATTGTAACGAAGAAAACACATAAAAAAAAATTACATAAAAATTTATTTTTATTTTTTAATAATAATGTAGTTAGCATATTTGATACTTAAAACCTATAGATGGTAAGTTATGATAAAAAGCTTTCCATTGTTTGATGATAGCAAATGATTAGGCTTTTTCTTATAAACTGTACATACTATCAAAAATAACCATTCACTATATTCACTGCCACCTGCAAATAAAAAGAAAATTTTAACAAGTTCTGTTAGGATGTTTTGGATTTGCTGACCACCACTTATAAGGGTTTGCTATCCAGTTTAGGCTAGCAGTTTCATGTTAACACCAATTACATTTAAAATTGGATTTTTCTTTTCCAAATCTTTATGTGTGCATATTTTCTGTAGGATAGATTTGATTGTTTTATTTACATTTCTTTTACTTTTGAAGTGGAGATAAATTGTCACCGGTGTCTAGTAGTATGGTTCATTGGTGTCAAGCAGCTTTTCACTGATAAGAATTAACCTTTCACCGAAAAATTTTATGCTGTCTCAATCTTCTTCAGAGCATTTAAATTTCATTTTTGTTTTACTTGTATGTTTTAACTAATCCCAGGAAATTAGTTTTAGAGTGTGCATCAATAAAAAAGGCAGCCGTTTAACTGTCATTCCCATTAAAGTTAAACCATGCTTTAGGTTCATGTTCTTATAAAGATATCATTCTTAACAAGTTCAAAGTTCTTTGTGCTATATCTATTTATAGCATTTTCTTAAATTAATTCAGAAATGTAAAATATACCTGAGCTGGTTATTTTTGAAATCCTTTTGAATGGTTTGAAGAGGATTATACTTTTATACATTACTATAGTTAAAGTATTTGATGTAAAAGTCAACAAATAATGCATGCTGTGATACAACCTAGTCACAAATTTAAAAAAATGCCTACATTATAGTTGACATATACACTTCAACAATGCTTTGGCCAAGCGCCTAGCTGAATATTCAGTATTTCATTTTCATGTTTCATGCATATAGCAATTATTAAGTAAAATAGTATCTATATTTTTAACATCTTTGCTTCCAACAAGGCTGAAAGCAACCACTAATTAGAGTAGGAAGTTACTGGAAGAGAAAAGATGAAGTTTGTAGAGCGAGATAACGATTGATAGACAACTTAAAAGATTGCAAATTATAAGAATCAGGAAAGCAAGATGAAGGAAGTGAATTCCAAAGAACTGATGTTCAAGGAAAAAATCTAGATGAATAAGAGTTTTTAAAAAAATTTAAAACAGCCACAGAAAAAGGATGAGACTTAACTGAGTAATGCGAGAATGAATTAGCTCTTTAGAGCTTCGCCCATTATTGTATTTGTAGAAAAGAGAAAGAGAAGCAACATTACAACGATGTGGTTGGAGGTTGGCTGCAAGAGCAGGTTCAACTATGTTTACAATGCGTTTTTGCACCTTGCCTAAAAGAGAAAGGGCATTATTAGAAGATCTGCCCCAGATATGGCAACAGTATTCCATAGAAGGCCGGATTTAAGATTTATAGAGATAGAGAGTAGAATCCAGAGTTAGAAAGTGTTGAGCTCAATAAAGAGATGCAACCTTAGCAGATGTTAATTTTACAATAGATTTGATAATGGTTTCCGAGAAAGATCAGAAATAAGAGTTAATCTCAAAAGATGAAAGGTAGATGACTCATGGAGTACATTACCGTTCATAATAATAGGAAGATCTAAATTATTGTGATAACGATTGGCTAAAAAAAATTGAGTTTTATCTGAATTAAAGTTAACCAGAGAGATAAGACTCAACAGAAGACTACAAATATTAGTGAATGATAGGTTTAGATATCTTGGTGATGACTATGGTTTTTTGTGTTTTATAGTTTTTGGTACTTTAGTCATTTTAAATTTTTTAAAGAACTTGACTCAAAGTATACATAGTACTCAGTACACTGTTTAATAGCCCAAGCAATTGCCTCATTACTATTAATAAACCCTAAGCCCAAACAAAGGGCTCCAATTGTGGGCTTGACAATGCACACTAAAAGTACAAATAGCGACACCATCCATGCGCAACATGGCTCTGTTAATACTTTGATATTTTTCAGCTGTTGATGGAATCGGCTTCTCTGAGACCTACCACAGAGTTCGAGAAACCTGACTACCAGCAGGCCTTAGAACCATAAAACTGAGTTTTAGAGCTGTACCCTTGTTAGGAGATAATAAAGTGAGTTGCCTAATAAAAACAGAGACACAACAAAACCCTTGCACTAAGACAAAAAGATTCAGCATTCAACATCCTAAACTGCAAACAATGTATTAAAAGTACATCTTTGCCAGCCTAGTAGATGAAGAAGGGGTGCGAGGTTAGTCAGCAGATAGAATCTGTTTACCCCTTAAATCTTAGCTTCAGAAGCCTTCTACAAGACAGTAGCCGGATGCATTTAACATCTGCCCAAGATGAGTATTTTTATTGAGATACTATCTCTAGCCTTTACTCAACCAAGAGCCTCAATGCAGGGGTTTTTTTTTGTCGGAGTTATATTTTATATATATATATATATATATATATATATATATATATATATATATATATATATATATATATATATATATATATATATATATATATATATATATATTTCTATTTGTGTTTGTGAAAAAGTATTCTTAAAAAATCTAGATTAAAAAAGCTTTTCATGATAGTTTTTATAGAAAAGAGAAAGAGATGCATCTTTAAGGCAATGGAACACAGAAGCTCATCAGCTAAGAACAACAACAACATCAACAATGCAACTAGCCCAATACGACAACAATGCCATGTATAAGATTTAAAGAGATAGAGAATGGAATAAGGAGTCAAAACATGACAAGTACAATAAAAATAATTTTATGCTTCTAACCACTAATGTAAAAATGATTTTAATCTTTTAATAATTCAAGAATCACATATGAAACAAACAGCTGTTTCAATAGAGTACTGCATGCTGTGAAACAAAAGCTAATACTGAAAATTATTGGTTTCATTCAGGTCCATTTCATATAAATTTTACCTTTATATGCAATATTATTTGGTAACTAGATTTGGACTGATATATTAAAAGCAAGCAAAAAATGTTTTTAATGTTTATACATCTTTTTTCTTTTATTCTAAAGAGTTATACTGAAAACTTATGTGATTTCTGTTAAGCAAATAAATAATTATGTTTTTCAAATTTTGTTTTTAAAACAAAATATCCTATAGGAATTCTTTTTTTTAAAGAATAAGCCTACAATCTTTTTATGTGTTTTTTTTTTTTTTTATATATATATATCAGGTAGACAGTTTAGAAAAC